AGAGAGACTGCAGTGTGGCCTCTCGTTTCCAACACCAGGCAAGGCTTGGTTTCCCTTAAGTCCCAGACAGCTAAGTCTTTAGAAGTTCATGTTCCAGAACCATGTCCTTGGGACCCTAGACTGCAGTGTGGCCTCTCGTTTCCTCACACCAGGCAGGGCTTGGTTTCCCTTAAGTCCCATACAGCTAAGTCTTTAGAAGTTCATGTTCCAGAACCATGTCCTTGGGACCCTACACAGGAACCATCCCAGTCCCCTCCACGCCTCTGTGCACAAGGTGGCAGATGCTTCCTTCAGAGCAGAATGGGGGAGACAGATGAATAAATCATGGCGTGTGTAACACAGGGCTGCCCAGCCAACACAGTAGGGAGGGGCCCAGGAAGGCCTCCCTGGAAAACTGTTCTCCTCGCCTGTCATCTCTTCAAAGGACTCCCTGCCAGGGCCCACCCCCATCTCCCCACAGCTTCCTGCAGGAGGAGGAGGAGGTCCTCCTCCCCTCCCTTCCCTCAGGGCCTGCAGTTTCATGGGTTTCCTAGAACAAGAAACTAGCATATCTAAGTCTCCAAGCACACACACACACACACACACACACACACACACACAGCTGTGTGACCTCGGCAAGTGGAGACTTGCCATGAGATGGGGCCACTCCTGGGACTCAGGATAACCCCCCTCCCCCGTATGGCACTGTTCTAAGTGTCAGCACAGCGCCTGCCCACAGAAGACCCGGGGACAAGAGGGAGATGGCTCCTCACCAAGGCTGCGTGGGACCGTCCAGCTGGCCCCACCGAGGCGCCTGCAGATGCCCTCCTGCTTCCACCCACTATTTTTGTTACTGCACTGCTGGGATGTTTAGTTATTATAAAAATAATCAAACAATTAAGACAATTTGGACAAGAGGAAAATACAAAGGGAGAAAGTACCCGCAGCCCACGGTCCTGCCACCTCCACCACGGCTCCGGGCTCCCTTCTCAACTTGCTCTGCGGTCTGGATCTGCGCCGTGTGCACCTAGCTGTGTCTACTCAGCATGGTGTTCTGGTCACCTTCCAGGGGACTGCAAACTTCGGAACCCTCTTCTCACAGTGAGTAAGATCTGGGAGGGCCAAGAGCTGAGCGAGTTGGGTGAGGTGCACAGGCAGAGGGCTGGCTCCACCCCTTGAGCCTTGGGCCTTTTCCCTCTGCCAAAGAGCTGACACTATGGGGTTACCTGGGGCTGGGGGCTGGGTGTGGGAGCCCCTCTGGCTGGCCCAGTCATCCCACCTCTGTCACCCAGGTCCTGAGTTCTAGTTCCGGCTCTTGCATTCTCTGCATGGCAGGGTCAGCATCACATGGAAACCCTGAACAGCAGCTGCAGGTCAGCAGGAAACAGGCAATCCTCTATGGTGCTGCAGAAGCCCCACCCCACCCCGCCCCAGATCTGACCAATAAGCTGAGACCTTGGGCTGAGGGAAGAGCAAGGATAGAGCCTCTGAGGTGGGCACAAGCTGGGCCTGGGTGAGGCTCAGCAAGCCTAGCAGGTGCCTGGGAAGTTGGGGAGAAGGGAAGGTCAGAGCCCTAGGGGAGCCACAAGGGCTAGGCAAGGAGCTGAGCCTTAGGCAAAGTAAGCAGGCTACAAAGGCACAGTAGGCCCCTGGTCTAGCCTCTAACTCAGCAGGTTTGTGTATACAGTTGAAGGTGAATGATGGAGTTTTGGGTCATCAAGGGACCACAAACTGGCTCATTTTGTGTGGTAACAATTCCGCAGCTGTCCAGAACATTTGAGCCTGATCAGAACACCATAATCTGTGATCCATTACTGATGTCTGCACAGTAGTGGGCTGCTTCATATGGGGACAGCCTGAACAAAGGTCAGGAAGCCCAGGACAGGAAGGCAAGGTGGAAGAGCTCCACGACCCCACCC